TTCCTGCTTACGACCTTGACAGTCATGTTTGCTGTGACCAGCTGTTCTGAACTCTGCTGTGCACCTTGTGATTGAAACAATCCACAAGGGCCTGGAAACACTTTACTTTCTTATAACAGCAGCGTAAGGAACACAGTGTTCTAGCTCCCTTGACTCTGTGAACAATCCTGGTGTCAGGACAGATTATTGTAGTTTCCATAAACATACTTCTTGTGGTTTGGTAAGAAAGCTTCTTCCCTGAAGGTATTTTGTACGTGGTGCTAGTAGCATCCTCTGTTTCTTAGTCGTGCATTCCTATTCACTTGAAATATTCATGCTTTTTACAGTTTCCTGAAGTATTTTTAGAGCAATTTTAATGCTACCACAATCTCTCATTATTGCCCTAAATATTTCTGAAGTTACCTATCATTTGGAGAAGTTTTAAAATGCAGTATGTCAGTAATTTATTCTACATTAATGTTTAAACAAGTATTTAAGTGTTTTACTAAATGTTTATCATATTTTTCTGTTGTAATTGGCCTTCATTTTATGTTAATGTCTAAAATAACTGAGTTAATGCAAAGTTCCATAAGAGGAATTTTTACTGCAAATACTCTGAAACACACATGAAAGATTTTTCTTACTTTAAACAAAATCATTTTAACTGTTCTTTTAGGTTTTAGCTTAAATATGAAGCAGTAATAAAATTTAAATGCTTCGGCTTGTACCCTGTGCAAATATTTGTGATTCAATTTTTAACATCAATATTTTGATGAATCTAATTAAATAATATTATTAAGTAATAATAGTTTTGCTTAAATGCTTAAAGTGTATGTCAGGATGAAACTACTGATGAAGCCATGTGGTTTCATACATGTTTATGTATGTAACTAGCCTGCAACCTCCTGTGTTGCAGAAAAGGTTTTTGTGTGGGACAGGATAGGAATACACAGATGTATATGTAAATACAGAAAGAATTGTCAAACATTTCAAATGCTGTATGTGATAGATTAGTTGCATGTGCTGTCACATACACAAGCGCCGTGTAAAATGTCAGCTGTGGTCACGCACATAATGCACATTTATAACTTAACTGCTCCATCCACAGGCACATTTCTGACCACTGGTGAACATTGCGTGCTGGAGTCTGCCCCGCTCCTGCACGCACCCTGTTTGTTGGTAAATTTCCAGATAGAAGCGGAGTGTTAAAACGAAACTGAAGGAACAAATGGTTATGAATGTATTTTCTACTAATTGAAGTCTTTAATACAAGGATTGCTAATTTTCTAAAAATTAGGCTCCAGTTTGATTGCAAGTTATTGCTTGTGGTAGTAGTACTGTTTACATTAAATTCTGCTTTATGACACTTCCAGCTTCAAGAGACACTGGGCTCCAACCCATGCATCAGGGCAAGGTTTCTGTACAGAACATGCTCTAGGTCTCTGCAGGCAGCACCCAACTTCCTAAATGATTACCCTACAGATCAGGTCAGTTGTGTGGCCTCTTTGGTTCATGGGGAATAGTGCAGACTCCTTACTGAAGGCTGCATGCGCTGATTCCCTTCAGCAGAGTGCCAGCCAGCTTACCAGTGTGCTGCTAAATCAGGCAGAACTACTAAGCTGAACAAGATGGAGCAGCAAGACCTGCCATTCATTTCCCATTTTATATATTAATTAAATGCCATACTTTTCTATATAATTTTTCTGCAAGCTTTTCTCAATGCTGGGGTCTCAGTGATTGAGAAAGAAACAATTATTCCAGTAAGACTAAGGGTTTGGCCTATGACTAATTACATGAATAAAGTAGCAAAACTCTGTTGACTGTAGTGTACAAACACTGGATTAGAGAATCACATTGTTCCCTACAAACTTTAATACGTCTCTTAGGCTCCCTACTAGCTTTCATTTTCTTGTACAGGTTTTACAATTCTTTTAGCCAAACTGTACATAAAATAGCTGTAACTGATAAAGATACCTTTGTCCTTCCTTTTTAAATGAAGTTGCATATTCCTGGTTTCCCCTTATATGTGCTTTATTTTAAACTAGGTGAAAGAAAGACAACAGTCTCTTGCACAAAGATTATGAACAAGAATATCAGCCTTGTGGACAACAAGAAGTGCAAATATTTAACAAAACCTGAACCACAGATCCGCAAGTGCAATGAGCAGCCATGCCAGACCAGGTAATATTGTTTTGGTTAAATTAAACTGTAGTACCTAGATATTAAAATCTTAGGAGCTAAGAGACATGACTGCCTCTGGCAATGAATATGTATATACATACATCCAAAAGGCTATAATGCAAACTGCAGGGAAAACAGAAGCACTGGCTGCTGTTTCCCCTGAGTTTTAATGGAAGAGATCCCTTAAGTTCCATGCCTACATAAATTCTTATTCAATAAAGCAACTCGTTACTTTCCTGAGGAAATGTTCTCACACACTTCATATGTACTATGAAATTGAAATTTAAATGCTGTTTATACAAAGATGGATTTAATCCCATGCTTTTAATTAATGATATATTTTAGGGTTTTGTTCAATCAAGGCTTCTGTCCTTTAAAAGCTCTCAGTAAGCTCTTGGTGCACAAGTAATAAATAAATAAATACATAACTGTTAATCAGGCTTTCTGCACTGATGCGACTTGAAGTCTAGAGCACCTTCCCCTCGCTTTTCTCCTCCCTCCCCCTGTACCCTTCTGTATGTGAATCAATGGGTAGAACTAGACTCTGATGGTGGATTAGTGGAAGAAGCAGGAGCTTTGTTTCTCTGACTTTTCCCCAGGAGGCAGCTGCAGCATGTAGCCTTTGCCCTGGAAAGCCCACCCCATTTGGTCTCTCTGCAGCAAAGCTGGCAGCCTGCTCCATGCACTGGCTATCCAGGCTGGAACAGCGACTCATTTCAGAGTTTGCCATCATGTTTCCATATGGCAGCTAAGAATTATGACTAAGGAAGTCTGCAAGAATTGTGTGGTCTTTGTTAAAGTATCTGCCACCTTTCAAGGTGGGGGATGTCAGCTAGCAATAGTTGGCTAGCATCCCCAGGAATAAGCACTAGGATAGGTCTATTGCAGTCATCTGGAGGAGGTGTACATGGCATTTTTAAAGAAAACAATGCAAACTAAATAAATATATTGTTGAAGAAGTTACGCGAAATGAACCAGAAGACAGCTTTCTTGGAAAAGATGGAATACTGAAATTGCTAAAATGCAAGGTATGATACATTTTAAGTAAGACCAAACCACTGAGGTTTGGACTTCCTCAGACTTGGGCATTACACTTTGGAGGGATTATTTGTATTTCATTATATACATACTTGAGCAGATATTTTATTTTATTTTATTTTATTTTATTATTTTATTTTATTAACATCACTGTGCACTTAATGAATTGAAATGGAATAGTCTAGACTTTTCTGAGGCATTGTCAACTATAAATTTTCAGTGTTTTGTACTCTTTCCAGCTTATTAAATGAAACATTTAAATGTTGCTAATTGCTTTGCTGAGAAATGTGAAAAGATACCATGATCCTTAAAATATATACAGTTTTCAATACAGTGTTAGTAATTAGTACAAAACAAAATATTGTTAGCTTTGAGCAGAAATGTACCTAAAGCATGTTTGCATAACTAGTTGTTTGTTATTTGCACTTGAAGAAGTATCTTAAACTCTGTTGCATTATCTTGACAAGTTGCGATTTGTAAATTATGTCTCTGGACTGATAATAAAAAAAAACTTAGTTAAATGTTTTATTTTCTTACAACGAATGTGTGACAGAAGGTTGGATCAGATTAGTGAAATCTCAGTTTCCTAAAAAACTCTCCCTTGGAATCAAAGTCTCCTGGGATACACTTGTGTACTGCATCAGTGGCAGAGTTGTTTGATTTTTAAGGGCATGTGGCCATAGTCTGGAGATTCAGAACATTTGGGAAAAATTATATGCTGGAACGACTGCTCTCCAGGTATGTGGGCTCTGCCAAGTGGCATCAGCCTTCTTTGCTGCTGTGATTTAAACCGCACAATCTGAGTTAGGCCTGACCTTGAAGAACACGAAGAAATCTGAGCTTTTATACTTCCTCCAGAGCAATGAGCCTTTCACACAGGATTGGCTCTGTCTTGCGACAGTATTTTCAAAGAATGCTGGACTTTACATGCATGGCATATAACAGTCAGGCTGATCAGTGAGTGATCTGTCATCTTCAAGATGTATGTTGTGGTACTTTCCTGGTTTCTTCTTACTGCATTGTCTGTATTTCTTTGCAGATGGATGATGACAGAATGGACTCCATGTTCAAGGACCTGTGGGAAAGGAACCCAGAACAGACAAGTAGCCTGCACACAGCAGCTCAGAAATGGGACCCTGATCAGAGCTAGGGAAAGGGATTGCCTTGGACCAAAGCCCGCTTCTGCACAGCGCTGTGAAGGCCAGGACTGCATGACTGTGTGGGAGGCAGGAGTCTGGTCTGAGGTGCTGCATTTGTTTATACAAATAGTCTACAGTGATTATTTATGCCTTACTATATTTTGGGAATATGATTTTTTCAGTGACAAGTGGCATAGGTCAGCTTGATGATTTTCATGGTCCTCATGCAGTGATTTGGTGAAGGGATTAGGGACTAGGAAAACCAGACATGTAGAACTACTACATTTTTCCTAGTTAATGTCCTGGAACAGTTTCTTTTGGCCAGTTTTCAAACACATATAATCATGTATGTCCTGATTGTATTAGTGGTTAACTAGGTGTAAATGGAATTAAGGCCATCACTTATCAGCTACCAGACCTTGGGTTCAGAGTGCAAACGTCTCTTGATGTAATTTTGTACCAAGGGATGTTGATCAGCAGATGGTTGCTGCCATTTTGCTTCAGGTTCAAAATACAAACAGCAGCTTCTGAATGTGTATGTAGTCCCTTCTTTGAGGTCCCCTACTCACCAGCGTCCCTTAATCCCCAAACAAGAAAGAACAAAGACACAGGGAGTGTTTCCAAAGATGAAAAGCAGGTGCTAAGGTAGAGATAAGAGAAGTACATAGCAACAGTTCCTGGTTTGGTACACAGATGTCTATAATGCAAGGGCTGTTTGTGAGAAGAATAGTATTCACTTTCACAGGTGTGAGAAAGAAACCCAGATTGTTTAGCTGGTTTATTTTACTTAAGAGATGAGAAGTAAGTTAGCGTGTTTCTGTTGGAAGCAATAAATATTTTGAAGAGTAATATAATAAATATTTTGAAGAGTAAGGTGTTTCCCATGGCCATTCCTGTTATCACCATTATATTGGGAGATGGCCATTACTGCTTTCTGCAGTTATAATCAGCTTGGCAAAGGATAGTTTTGATCTGCAAACAATGGGATGATCAAAAGCAGTGATAATGTTTTGAGAAGGAAATGGCATAATTTTTGGCAGAGTAAGTGGGAATGGTGAAAAAAACATAGATTATGATCTTCTCTGCAACTCAGAGAGAGTTTTCACATGCTGTATATGCAGTGACTTTGAATTTTCAAATCCAGACTGGATTCTTGCATAGTTTTAGAATATTTACTTTTCTGGTTTAACTATTTTCCCATCCAAAAAAGGTCACTTAGACACTCCAGAATTTTTCTGTAGTTGCTTCATATCTTATTCTTGTGAATATTATGTACATTTTCTTTCATTACACTTCCTTTGATTTGTAGAACAAAGATTGCCTAATGTTTTCAGTATAACATTTTGCATTCACTTCATCAGAACTTTTCAGACGTTTTCTTATCCAAAAGCCTAGGTTTTCCTCAAGCAAATATTTTTTGATCTATTTAAGTGTTTTCAGCTGAAAATGCAACTATTATCTTTCTTCCCCATAATAAATTTTTGTTCATTTGTTAGTTTCTAACAAATCCAGTGTCTATGCAATTGAAGATTGGAAGTCAGAGAATCACAAGTCTTAAAATATTTATGTTAGCCTGGCAGACGTCATTAGAAGGGAATAAAATGTGATAACTATGACTTTTGTAGAAATCTGAAAAACATTTTTTTCCGACAGTGCTCTGTAAAGTGTGGTAAGGGAGTACGGCATCGGACTGTGAGGTGCACCAATCCCCGCAAGAAATGTGTTTTGTCCACAAGACCTAAAGAAGCAGAGGACTGTGAAGACTATTCCAAATGCTATGTCTGGAGAATGGGAGACTGGTCTAAGGTGAGGTATTCTTGATACTAGTGCCCCAAGGCATAATATGTTTTTCAAGCCAAATTCTTTGTAAGAATTGCTTTTGTAAGAAGCGTAGGAGTCTCCAGCTGAGGGAACAATAAAAAAAACCCAAATAACCCAAACTACCCAAAACAGGTAGTCATACTGAGACCACAGTATAAATGAAACCCAGAAATATGAAGAAAGCATGAGATGAATCTTAAGTATCATGAAAGTTTGGTATAAATTTACTGTTGTCAGTAGGCTGGCAAGCAGCTCCAGAAACTGAAGCCCACTCCAACATCGCAGTTTGTACATTTCATTAATTTGTGTTTGCAAATTTTGTCTGTCCAATAAGTTAACGCCCTCCAGCATTATAGGAAGCACCGTTGGCCTATTAAATTTCCCCATAGACCATTTAATATCTAGGAAGCATCTATTATTCTCTTTTCTGAACACTTGATGTAGCTGTCAGTACATTATTTCCTTGGCATATGGATTTTGATTTCAATGAGGTATATAAGCACAGGACAAACTGTAATAGTGGTTAGATCTGTGATTGAGTGTGTTGTAGGTTGAAGATCTGATGCAGTTTTGAATATCCAAAACATGCTGAAATACTGAAAATGAACCTTGTCAATTTTGCCATATCACAGACTACACTTTAACAGAGAGATTGTAATCTTTTTTTTTTTTTTCCCCTTGTTTCTCTTCATGACTTTGCACACAACTACTTTCAGGCTGTAACATTGTTGCAGCAGTTTTTAAGTTGCTTGTATGGAGAAGTGTTTAATATATTTTTAGTTGTCTTTCATGTGATGTAACGGCTGGAGACAAGGTCTAAAGCCAGCAGTGTATGGCTAGCCAGCCTTCCAAGAACTGGCTGCAAGTACTCTGTCGGCAAGTAGTGTTTCATAGAATTCTGCTTGGGGGCTTCCATTTTATGATGATGGGGTACAAATTCTCACTATCACATTACTATTAATTCCGTTCCTTTTTTCACGTCTAAAGGATAATGTAACATGATTTGGACTTTTTTCTTGTAGTGGTGATCATTTAAAATATTTGAAAATATTTTGGAACAGTGTCACAAAAACTAGAAGATAACTCCCATAGCTTAGTTGCTTCAAAAACACAAAGTAGTATAATCATTATTTTTTTAAGCAACAGAAGCAACTAACCTTCAGTAACAGGGTTAATTTTACTAGATGTGTTTGGCAATAAAGTTTTTATATACCACAGAACTGCAGTAAAAAACTTCCATCGTTTAACACTAGTAGCAACAGGGAGTAGACTATGGAGAAATTGCTATCTGCTTTCTTAGTTGAAGCAGTCACTCTAATTGGGGTTGCTGAGGCTATGTGGGGGTGCTGAGGCAGTTACACTGTGTTCCCAGTGCCCTCTGGAGAAAAGATCTTTATTCTCTATCTCATATACTTTTCACAAACATTCATATCATAGATGAATGTACAAGAACTTACTTCTTCCTGTTTAATATTTACTGACATCTTGTTAGTTCTGCTTTCCTCCCACAGTCAAAGCTGTAACGCTGTCACCAAAATTGTACTTTAAACTTCAAAATCAGAAGATGAGGAAATATTTCATATGGAACTGACAAAATCTGATGAACAGTTAACATACAGCTTGACTGTGAGTTGTGCAGCTGAGATTTTCCAAGATTTATACCAAAAAATATATACTTTAATTTCTTTACAGAGACATGAGTTCAATTTAAAATGTAGTTGGATTTCCTTTTTTTTTTTTTCCTTGTTACTATTCTGTTCCACTGCTGGAGTACATAGCAACATGAAGTCATGGCATACATGTTAATGTGTCTGCAATGGGGGAAACAAATGGAAAACTCAGATAAATGTTAATCTTTGCTCACTGTTTGTTTCTAACTCAGAAGTTCAGTGCAGCCTTCTGTGTTCACTGTTTTTACTCTTTAGGATTGTTCTTGACATTGACAGATGGCTGTTCCTTTGAGCAGAGCCAAGTTCCCCCAAGCTAATGCCAAGACTTGGCTTGAAAAAATTAAATGACACTTCTCACACATTCAAACGAGAGCCTTAATGCTATCCGTTATTGGCTTTGCTGCTCCCCTTGAACTCCTAAGGCATAATTTTAAATGAAGCTTAAATAGCACTATTACTGAAAAATAACATTATTAATAATCATAGTAGTGCTTTAATGGAGTTAATTTGTTTTAGAGGTACAGTCACATAGAGATCAAATAATTATTTTGCTCAATGTTTTAACAGTAATACCAAGATCAAATAACATTTTACCTAAATTGCAAGCTCCAATAGTCAATAAATACATCAATCTTTCTAAAACCCTGAGTAATTGAAAAGTATGCTGTATAAGCTGGCCTGTATGCAGCATTAAACTCCATAATAGCTCTTAAGTCAGCAAGGTGGGTCAATATGCTGAACGTTGCTGTTCTTAACATCAGTTGGCCTCTGTGCCTGCCTTCATGAGGAAAATTAATATGATGAGAAAGTAAGGAATAAAGGCTCAAACTGAGCTTCGGAAGCCAGCATCTAGCAACATTACCAACTACATTGTCTTTTCCCAGTGAATGCCATCCTTGGAATACCAAACGTAACAATGTAAAGGTTACCTTCAGGTGAGGAAAGCTCATAGCTACTATAGTGCTGGTTAGGGTGAGGTGTAGCGCAGTCTTACTAGCAACAGTTTCCTTTACTAAGCTGTCTGTTGCCATTCATTTTAAGGCTATGCCAGTATAGGGTCACACTCAAAGGAATTAATTATCTATAGGTGAACAAGTAGGCAGGGGAGAAATGAAATGAAATGCATATGAACTTCATGTTTACACATCTGCCTGGCTTACTAGAGAAATTCACATCATTGTAGTACTCAGTGTCCAAAAAAGACTTTAAATGCCAACAGCATAAGGTGCTTGAAGAACAGGGCTAGGGTACTATGCTTTAGGAATTTTTTTCATTGTTGTTTTTATTGCTATTATGTAGAATCCTCAGAACATCAGTGAAATAAATGAAACATGAGAGGCAGGATGAATTTTGGGAATGGAGAATAATTTGGAGAGTGGGTTTTGCAAGTATTAATTAAAAGCCGAGTTTGATACGATATTATACCAGAAAGTTTTGGAAAGATTCATCAGGAGATAATAGGATCAAAACACTGCACAACAGACTAGAATTTAGGAGCAGCCATTTGTAAAATGAAGTATAAAGTGCATGTATAGGAGCCCAGAAAAGATTTGGCTATGGAAGCTGGAAAGGGGATGCATTCAGTAGAAACTTAAGAAGTAGCAGCAGCAGGCTTTCTAAATAGTATCTATGTGCTAGACCAAAGATACAGAGTAGTCAAATATAACATCTAGGGTAAGGGTCCCAATGAGTGGGAAGGAATTCAATGTGTATATAGCCTTGAAGAAGTGAAAATGGAGAACAAAGGTTAATCTGCTAATTTTTTTTCCAGTGAGTGTGATAGGACATCTGAGGCAACTTTCCAACTTACTTATTTAAGACTGTACATGCAAGTGCCCTCTAGAAAGTATATGTGTGTATTGTTGAGGAAGTCAAGCCTCCAGCTGTTGGGGGGAGACAGAATGAACCCAATAGGTCACAGATGTCCCAATTGAGTGGTACAGAAAGCAGCTATCAGTGACGAGGATTGGTTGCCCAAGGAAGCTGTGAATGCTTCAACCCTGGAGGTGTTCAAGGCCAGGCTGGACAGAGCCTTGGGCGACATAGTTTAGCGTGTGGTGTCCCTGCTCATGGCAGGGGGGTTGGAACTAGATGATCTTAAGGTCCTTTCCAACCCAAACCATTCTATGATTCTATGATTCTCTTCTGTCCCAACCAAAGGACATGTGAAAATTGACAGATTAAAAGCAAAAAATAGTTCTTTTTTGCCAGGTATTCAACAGCATGGAACATTCAACCTTTAAACTGTGTTCTTAAATATTTAAACAACCCCTAAATTTCCACAGAAAATCGACTCAACTGCTTTCTGCTCCTCAATTAAAAAAATAGAATTTGGGTAGTATTAGTGTTACTGACAAGGTAATTAGCCTTGGTTTTATTCTCTGGATTCCCATCCAAAACTGTTAGCTCTTTCAGATTCCAGTAACAGAATAGTGCTGGCCATAAGTCAAAATATGACACTATTAGTAGATTTATGGACAAAGAAATTGTGTTACTTTCATGAAATAATACAAGTCAAAATAATACTAGCATCACGTTGATAACTTTTATATTGACTTAATTATACAGTTAGTTTCCAGCAAATGAGGTATGTCTGTTTCAGAATTGAAGTATGAGCAAAATATAATGAAATGACAGTGGGGAGGGTTTTGTAAATTTCTAGCCAATCCTGTAATACTAACATAATTTGTTTCAGATAAAGGTGGGTTATTTTAGATCAAAGTACTGTAGTATTTTGCCTGGATGAAATGTAATTTCATGTTAGTTTCTAGAAAAACAGAATAGGTAAAAGCACTAATAAGACTGGAAAGGATTTTTAAAATGTCCTTTTTTCACACACAAACTTGCACATAAATGGGAAATTCTGGTATCTGTATCACACTTAGATATACTGGGACATCTTTGCTGGTTTTCTGCTACAAGCCTCTTTAGGATAAGCAAAGGTTTTGTGAATGCCAAACTGGAAACCCATACTTAAGCAGATCTGTACAGCCACAGTCTTGTTGCAGGATGTACAGCATGCTGCAGGGTGCCATCTGAAAGAGTGGTATGGGGAAAGAGGAGATTCACTTACACATCCTGTCTGAGAAAAAAATGGGTAATATCAATGAATTCAGCAATTGTATGAAATTGCTTTGGATTGTGCTGATTTTAAAGATGTTACCAGGGAGGAATGCTGAGGTGCATGCTAGTGTCACAGATCAGTAGTGAAAAGGTTGACTGATTAGCAGTTAAAGAAAGTCTAGGAAATTCTAAAAGAAAAAGAGAGCCAGAATATACCTGAACAAGCTAGGGTTTTCTTACTCTCTGGAAGTA